ATAATAACCTAGCTGCACTTTATTATATTAATTATTAATCTGTTACCATATTATAAGGAATTTAAGAATCAGTCAGTAATTAAATATCTTCAATCAATGACACATACGTAACAAATAAAACAAAATAATATAGGTACCTTAATTACATTTTCAAGGTATCATAGTGCCATAGTATTACTTTAAATTTAGTTAGTCTTTATTCAAGAATAATAAAATATAAAAAATATTGTGATGGAATCATTGTACAATACCTATTATAATAAATTGGCATTATGGCAAAATGGTTTAGTGCTAACGAATGTTTAAAAACTACTTAAATATGTTTGTTTTTAATTAGTGGCAAGTTATGATGCAAAAATGTCGATGTTTCGGCTTGATCTGGAAGTAAGCGGTTCCTTTTTGTCTCATATACATTGCCAGCTTCCGAAAAGAGACGCTCGCTATAAACTGTGCTGGCGGGACAACACAGATATACTTTAGCTATACGAGCCATTTCAGGATATCTAGAACTGTTCTCATGCCACCACTTAAATGGATCTTCATTTCGCTGTAAAACTGGCAATGTGCAGTAAGAATGAAGTTCGTGAGCTGAACTAGATGTTTCGTCGTCAATATTGTGCACTTTTCGCGTAACCATTTCTTGGTAAACTCCCCAAAAGTTGCGATGAGCTGTCATTTCGGAGTTAGGATTTTGGATATTGGTCTCATCGTTATTTAGGTCGCTGTCATCATCATCACTCATACCATTCTTTAAGGCTTCCAGCAAAAACTGTGATCTTACTGATACTATATTTTCATTATCAAAAAACTGTAGTTTGTACCTTGAATCGAGCAAAGTTGCAAGTGAAAACAATTGTTTAGCGGAAAGTTGCAAAGAAATTTATATTTTTTATTTTTTATTATAATGGATTTCCGCAAAGTAACGCCTGATTCTATCAATTATCTGAAAACAATTTATTCTGTTCCAAATTTCTGAATCTAGTTTTCAAGCCCTTTTGCAATGCAGTTTTCATTTCCATTAGTTGCTCATTTCCGTCTTCGTCTGTATAGTTTTCCAGATATTTTTCCAGTATTTTTAGGTGAGGAATAACTTCTGATATCGAGGAGCAACTTGAACTAATTATTTTCGTCACCTCTTCAAACGGTTTTAGTAGCGTAATGCATTTTTCGAGTAACTTCCACTCCTCGGTCGATAAATTCTCAAAATTAACTGTATTTTCTGTCACATACAAAGAAACGGATCGCTTTTTGCTCTAACAAACGAAACATCATGTAATAAGAAGAGTTCCACCTTGTGGAAACATCTTGAACAAGAAGATGTAAAGGTAAATGTAGCGGCGCTGTCGTCGCGCCACAAGCGAAATACACCGAAGCTTAAATCACGCTATCAACATTCCGAATCATAGACAGTATATATAGAACTTCTCCGAACTATCACTTGGAGCGTTGGCCGCTCCCCGGGCATAACACCTTGCCCGGTGGGAGATCTCCCCTTTTCCTTTCACGGCCACAGTGGTAACTACCCGACGTGATCTGAACACGCAACCAACAACCTTCGGAAACTTCAAGCTTCATCATCGTCATAGAGTACCCCACCCATTCGCTCCCGAGCAGATATAAAATGCAGTCTTCATATCCTGCAAGCCATCTAGCTTCACAAGGTTCATCGCAGCACTGGAATAATAATGCTTCCTGTTCCTTCAAGCTACTCTCTGCGCTATACAGTGTTCGGCACGGCTCTGAGCCCTACTGCTCGCCTCTGCTTCACGGCACTCTCGCAGATTACTTGCCTTCTTCTCGACTCACCGCAGACAAGGCAATCTCCTGGCACTTGCACATTCGTCGGCAACGAGGCTGCACTATCGACCTCCAGTCTGAGCAGGGGGGTGATGTAGCGGCGCTGTCGTCGCGCCACAAGCGAAATACACCGAAGCTTAAATCACGCTATCAACATTCCGAATCATAGACAGTATATATAGAACTTCTCCAAACTATCACTTGGAGCGTTGGCCGCTCCCCGGGCATAACACCTTGCCCGGTGGGAGATCTCCCTTTTCCTTTCACGGCCACAGTAAATTAAGCTCTTTTTGAATAGCACTTAGTTTTTGTTGAGCTGGTGCCGAGTGATTGAAATGCGTAACGATACGCCTCGATTTTTGAAGAATTTGTGCTATATAGTCAATTTTAAGCAAGTCGTGGATTGCCAATTGCATAGTATGAATAAAACATGGAACTGCTTTGAAAATCGATTCATCGATAGCCTTCGTAATGTTCCTCCCATTATCTCGCACAACAGCGTGTATTTTGGCCGCACTTATATTCCATGAGGCAGAAATTTCTTCGAGACACACTTTTATATTATGTGCATCGTGAGACATAGGAAAATGTTTCATCTGGAGTACTGCGTGACGAAATTTCATATCGTTATCCAACCAGTGTGCTGTAAAGCTTAAAAAACTTTCCTAATTGTATTTGTCCACAAATCTGTAGTTACGGATAGCGCGGTAGTGCTGAGCACTCCGTATCGTATTTCAGTTTTAGTTTTCTCATAAATGTTGGGAATGATATTTTCTGACAAATACTTTCTACTAGGCAGTACATATTTTGGTTTAAGCTTTTTCATTAGACTGATAAAACCACTGTTTTCCACAATTGATAGAGGTTGGTTATCCAAGGCAATCATCTCTCCTATAGCAACACTTATTTCTCTTGATCGGGAGCCCTGAAGCGACCACTGGACCATTACACTATCTTGAATAGTTTGTTGTATGTAAACTTCGCCTCTCGCTGAAGTTGACGGAACTGGCGTCGGTGAAAAGAGCTCAGGTTGCGATTGAAAACGTGAAGACAAATGGACTTCATTCGAACTACTTTTAATAGAACCTGCCAATTGAGGCATCAACTCGTTGTGCTTATATTTTATGTGATTAGTCATACTTGTAGTATTCGCTTTTCTACCTTGACCACCGCGTGAAATTATTCCCTGGCACTGGTTACATTTCACTTTTGTCGGTTCTCCTTCAACATCATCGAAGAATGTCCACACACGCGATTTCTTTTTCGACATTTTAAGAAATTATTTAAGAAATTAAATATATAAGAAAGTATATAAGCTAGAATATAAGCAAGTATATAAGAGCATATATAAGCAAGTATATAGGTAAGTATATAAGCAAGTATATAAGCTAGTATATAAGCAAGTATATAAGCAAGTACATAAGCAAGTAAATAAGCAAGTAAATAGCAAGTATACAAGCAAGTATATAAGCGAGTAAATAAGCAAGTATACAAACAAGTACATAAGCAAGTATAGAGGCATGTATATAAGCATGTAAATAAGCAAGTATATAAGCAAGTATATAAGCAAGAACAAAAGCAAGAACAAAAGCAAGTGTATAAGCAATTCTATAAGCATGCACATAAGCAAGTATATAGGTAAGTGTATAAGCAAATATATAAGCAAGTACATAAGCAAGTATATAAGTAAGTATATAGGTAAGTATATAGGTATATACTTGCTTGTATACTTGCTTATACATAAGCAAGCAAATAAGCAAGGAAATAAACAAGTAAATAAGCATGTATATAAGCAAGTACACTAGCAAGTATATAAGAAAGTCAGTAAGCAAGTAAATAAGCAAGTAAATAAGCAAGTAAATAAGCAAGTATATAAGAAAGTATAGAAGCAAGTATGTAAGCAAGTATATAAGCAAGTATATACTTGCTTATGTACTTGCTTATATACTTGCTTACTTACTTGCTTATATACTTGCTTATATACTTGCTTATATACTTGCTTATATACTAGCTTATATACTTGCTTATATACTTACCTATATACTTGCTTATATACTCTCTTATATACTTGCTTATATTGTTGCTTATATACTTTCTTATATACTTGATTATTTACTTGCTTTTACACTTGCTCATATACTTGCTTATTTACTTGCTTATATACTTGCTTATGTACTTGCTTATTTACTTGCGTATATACTTATATATTTACTTGCTTATGTACTTGATTATATACTTGCTTATATACTTGCTTATTTACTTGATTATTTACTTTCTTATGTACTTGCATATGTACTTGCTTATATACTTGCTTATACACTTGCTTTTGTTCTTACTAATATACTTGCCTATATACTTTCCTAAATACTTGCTTATATACTTGCTTATGTACTTGCTTATATATTAGCTTATATACTTACCTACATACTTGCTTATGTACTTGCTTATAGACGTGCTTTTGTTCTTGCTTATATACTTGCTTATATACTTGCTTATATACTTGCTTATATACTTGCTTATTTACATGCTTATATACATGCCTCTATCCTTGTCCTTATTACTTGATATACTTCTTTACTTGCTTGTATACTTGCTTATTTACTCGCTTATATATTTGCTTGTATACTTGCTTATTTACTTGCTTATATACTTGCTTATATACTTGCTTATTTACTTGCTTGTATACTTATATATTTACTTGCTTATGTACTTGCTTATATACTTGCTTATTTACCTGCGTATGTACTTGCTTATATACTTGCTTATTTACTTGATTATATACTTTCTTATGTACTTGCATATGTACTTGCTTACATACTTGCTTATACACTTGCTTTTGTTCTTACTAATATACTTGCCTATATACTTTCCTAAATACCTGCTTATATACTTGATTATGTACTTGCTTATATATTTGCTTATGTACTTACCTATATACTTGCTTATGTACTTGCTTATAGACTTGCTTTTGTTCTTGCTTGTATACTTGCTTATTTACTCGCTTATATACTTGCTTATATATTTGCTTATTTACTTGATTATTTACTTGCTTATGTACTTGCTTATATACTTGCTTGTATACTAGCTTATATACTTGCTTATATACTTACCTATATACTTGCTTATATATGCTCTTATATACTTGCTTATATTCTAGCTTATATACTTTCTTATATATTTAATTTCTTAAATAATTTCTTAAAATGTCGAAAAAGAAATCGCGTGTGTGGATATTCTTCGATGATGTTGAAGGAGAACCGACAAAAGTGAAATGTAACCAGTGCCAGGGAATAATTTCACGCGGTAGTCAAGGTAGAAAAGCGAATACTACAATTATGACTAATCACACAAAATACTCGTATAAGCACAACGAGTTGATGCCTCAATTGGCAGGTTCTATTAAAAGTAGTTCGAATGAAGTCCATTTGTCTTCTCGTTTTCTGTCGCAACCTGAGCTCTTTTCACCGACGCCATTTCCGTCAACTTCACCGAGAGGCGAAGTTTACATACAACAAACTATTCAAGATAGTGTAATGGTCCAGTGGTCGCTTCAGGGCTCCCGATCAAGAGAAATAAGTGTTGCTATAGGAGAGATGATTGCCTTGGATAACTAACCTCTATCAATTGTGGAAAACAGTGGCTTTATCAGTCTAATGAAGAAGCTTAAACCAAAATATGTACTGCCTAGTAGAAAGTATTTGTCAGAAAATATCATTCCCAACATTTATGAGAAAACTAAAACTGAAATACGATACGGAGTGCTCAGCACTACCGCGCTATCCGTAACTACAGATTTGTGGACAAATACAAACAATTAGGAAAGTTTTTTAAGCTTTACAGCACACTGGTTGGATAACGATATGAAATTTCGTCACGCAGTACTCCAGATGAAACATTTTCCTATGTCTCACGATGCACATAATATAAAAGTGTGTCTCGAAGAAATTCCTGCCTCATGGAATATAAGTGCGGCCAAAATACACGCTGTTGTGCGAGATAATGGGAGAAACATTACGAAGGCTATCGATGAATCGATTTTCAAAGCAGTTCCATGTTTTATTCATACTATGCAATTGGCAATCCACGACTCGCTTAAAATTGACTATATAGCACAAATTCTTAAAAAATCGAGGCGTATCGTTACGAATTTCAATCACTCAGCACCAGCTCAACAAAAACTAAGTGCTATTCAAAAAGAGCTTAATTTACCTTTACATCTTCTTGTTCAAGATGTTTCCACAAGGTGGAACTCTTCTTATTACATGATGTTTCGTCTGTTAGAGCAAAAGCGATCCGTTTCTTTGTATGTGACAGAAAATACAGTTAATTTTGAGAATTTATCGACCGAGGAGTGGAAGTTACTCGAAAAATGCATTACGCTACTAAAACCGTTTGAAGAGGTGACGAAAATAATTTGTTAAAGTTGCTCCTCGATATCTGAAGTTATTCCTCACCTAAAAATACTGGAAAAATATCTGGAAAACTATACAGACGAAGACGGAAATGAGCAATTAATGGAAATGAAAACTGCATTGCAAAAGGGCTTGAAAACTAGATTCAGAAATTTGGAACAGAATAAATTGTTTTCACTTGCAACTTTGCTCGATTCAAGGTACAAACTACAGTTTTTTGATAATGAAAATATAGTATCAGTAAGATCACAGTTTTTGTTGGAAGCCTTAAAGAATGGTATGAGTGATGATGATGACAGCGACCTAAATAACGATGAGACCAATATCCAAAATCCTAACTCCGAAATGACAGCTCATCGCAACTTTTGGGGAGTTTACCAAGAAATGGTTACGCGAAAAGTGCACAATATTGACGACGAAACATCTAGTTCAGCTCACGAACTTCATTCTTACTGCACATTGCCAGTTTTACAGCGAAATGAAGATCCATTTAAGTGGTGGCATGAGAACAGTTCTAGATATCCTGAAATGGCTCGTATAGCTAAAGTATATCTGTGTTGTCCCGCCAGCACAGTTTATAGCGAGCGTCTCTTTTCGGAAGCTGGCAATGTATATGAGACAAAAAGGAACCGCTTACTTCCAGATCAAGCCGAAACATTGACATTTTTGCATCATAACTTGCCACTTGCTTATATACTTACTTATTTACTTGCTTATATACTAGTAAATAAGCAAGCTTGCTTATTTACTTGCTTATGTACTTGCTTATTTACTTGCTTATATACTAGTATATACCAACGCAAATACACCAAACAGCTTATATCTCATACACTTGCTTATACTTGCTTATTACTTCTACATACTTGTATTACTTGCTTTACACTTCTTCATTTACTTGCTTATTTACTCGCTTATATACTTGCTTATTTACCTGCTTATATACTTGCTTATGTACTTGCTTATTAAATTGCTTATTTACTTTCTTATGTACTTGCTTATATACGTGCTTATTTACTGGCTTATGTACTTGCTTATATACTTTCTTATATACTTGATTATTTACTTGCTTTTACACTTGCTCATATACTTGCTTATTTACTCGCTTATATATTTACTTATGTACTTGCTTATTTGCCTGCTTATATACTTGCTTACGTACTTGCTTATTTACTTGCTTATATACTTATATATATATACTTGCTTATGTACTTGCTTATATACTAGCTTATATACTATAAGCAAGAATATAAGCAAGTGTATAAGCAAGTATATAAGCAAGTACATAAGCAAGGATATAGGTAACTATATAATCAAATATATAAGCAAGTATATAAGCAAGTATATAGGTAAGTATATAAGCAAGTATTTAAGCTAGTATATAAGCAGGTAAAAAGCAAGTAAATAAGCAAGTAAATAAGCAAGTACATAAGCAAGTAAATAAGCACGTATATAAGCAAGTTCATAAGCAAGAAAATTAGCAAGTAAATAAACCAGTAAATAAGCAAGTATATAAGAAAGTACATTAGCAAGTATATAAGCAAGTCAATAAGCAAGTAAATAAGCAAGTATATAATCACGTATATAAGAAAGTACATAAGCAAGAATATATTCTTGCTTATATTCTTGCTTATACACTTGATTTTGTTCTTACTTATATACTTGGTTATATACTTACCTATATACTTGCTTATATACTTGCTTATATACTCTCTTATATACTAGCTTATATTCTTGCTTATATACTTTTTTATATACTTGATTATTTACTTGCTTATATACTTGCTTATATACTTGAATATTTACTTGCGTAGTACTTGCTTATATACTTGCTTATATACCAGCTTATATTCTATATATAACCATATAGGTAACTATATAATCAAATATAGAAGCAAGTAAATAAGCAAGTAAATAAGCAAGTATATAAGAAAGTACATAAGCAAGTAAATAAACAAGTAAAGAAGCAAGTATATACAAAAGTATATAAGCAAGAATATTAGCAAGAATATTAACAAGTATATAAGCAAGTATATAACCACGTAAATAGCAAATAAATAAGCAAGTACATAAGCAAGTGTATATTTGCTTGTATACTTGCTTATTTACATGCTTTTATACATGCCTCTATACTTGCTTATATTCTAGCTTATATACTGGCTTATATACTACTATCTTATATACTTGCTTATATACTTTCTTATATACTTGATTATTTACTTGCTTTTACACTTGCTCATATACTTGCTTATTTACTTGCTTATATACTTGCTTATGTACTTGCTTATTTACTTACTTACATACTTGCTTATTTACCTGATTATATACTTGCTTATGTACTTGCTTATTTACTTGCTTATTACTTGTTTATGTACTTGCTTATATACTTGCTTATTTACTTGCTAGTGTACTTGCTTATATACTTGCTTATTTACTTGTTTGTTTCCTTGGTTATTTGCTTGATTATGTACTTGCTTATATACGTGCTTATTTACTTGCTTATATACTTAATTTTATACTTTCTTATATACTTGATTATTTACTTGCTTTTACACTTGCTCATATACTTGCTTATTTACTTGCTTGTTTACCTCCTTATATACTTGCTTACGTACTTGCTTATTTACTTGCTTATTAACTTGCTTATGTACTTGCTTATATACTTATATATTTACTTGCTTATGTACTTGCTTATATACTTGCTTATATACTAGCTTATATACTATAAGCAAGAATATAAGCAAGTGTATAAGCAAGTATATAAGCAAGTACATAAGCAAGTATATAAGTAACTATATAATAAAATACGTAAGCAAGTATATACGGAAGTATACAGGTAAGTATATAAGCAAGTATTTAAGCTAGTGTATAAGCAGGTAAAAAGCAAGTAAATAAGAAAGTAAATAAGCAAGTACATAAGCAAGTAAATAAGCACGTATATAAGCAAGTACATAAGCAAATAAATAATCAAGAAAATAAGCAAGTATATAAGCAAGTATCTAAGCAAGTATATAAGCAGGTAAAAGCAAGTAAATAAGCAAGTATATAAGCAAGTAAATAAGCACGTATATAAGCAAGTTCATAAGCAAGCAAATTAGCAAGTAAATAAACAAGTAAATAAGCGAGTATATAAGAAAGTACATTAGCAAGTATATAAGCAAGTCAAGAAGCAAGTATATAAACGAGTAAATAAGCAAGTATACAAGCAAATATATAAGCAAGTATAGAGGCATGTATAAAAGCATGTAAATAAGCAAGTATATAAGCAAGTATATAAGCTAGTATATAAGCAAGTATATAAGCAAGTATATACTTGCTTATGTACTTGCTTATTTACTTGCTTATTTACGTGGCTATCTTTTACTTGCTTATTTACGTGGTTATATATTTGCTTATATACTTTCTAATATTTTTGCTTATTTACTTGCTTATTTACTTGCTTATTACATGCCTCTTTACTTGTTTATATACTTGCTTGTATACTTGCTTATTTACTCGCTTATATACTTGCTTGTATACTTGCTTATTTACTCGCTTATATACTTGCTTATATACTTGCTTATTTACTTACTTATTTACTTGCTTATGTACTTGCTTATATACTTGCTTATTTACTTGCTTATATACTTGCTTACTTACTTGCTTATGTACTTGCTTATTTACTGACTTTATACACTTGCTTTTATTCTTGCTTATATACTTGCTTATATACTTCCTAATATATTGCTTATTTCCATGTTTATGTTCTAACTTCTCACTGGATCAACATTTACCGTGAAAGGATGATTATATATATATAATAGGTACTCGAACACGAAGCGGCAACGTCGCGTTCTGTGTGTGACAGAGAACCCAGTAGGCTACTTCGTTATAGTAATAAGGTAAGAAAATGCATTATCTGCCGATTTTGTGGATCAAACTTTGGCAGGTGTTATTGTGGAAAGACGTTTGTTCGAGTTTTTGTTATCGTGTGAGTGAATTTGTGTTATTTTGTTCATTTGTCATAGAGCAATTAGAAGATGATGGATAGTGCTTTATTACAAATTAATTTATCAAGAGTATGTGTGTGTGTGTAAGGGTGGGGGGTGCCATTTATTGCGCACGCGTGTTTACGTGCGTGCGTGTGGGTGTATGTGCGTTCATGTGCGTGCGTGCGCGTGTATGTGAGTGTATTTGTTCGTGTGTGCACTGTTGCGTTTTTTTCA